TGCCTTTGTTTTGTGGAATGACATTTCTTTTTTTTTACCTACCAACCTCGATATTATCAAAATGTTAATTAAAACGCGCGCAACGCGACAGGAAATTATCGGTATAGCCGTCAAAAATGCGGTATTTTAGTGGGTTAATTAATTTTAACTTGTTGAAGAACGTTATCGACCAGAAGCTTTAAATTTATTATCCATTGTGCTTCGACGATTGGCTCTTTTGTCGTTAATGAAGTATGTGTGCGCAAACATTTTGCATTTGGCCGATTAGGGGCTGTTTTCCGAAAGTTAATTAACCCCCCCTTTGAATCGGGTCCAGCAAATATTCAGAAAATATGTCGACAACATGGGACTCTATTAGCAGCAATACTGATATTCTCTTTACTTGTGTTCCATTGTCACGAATCGTTGTACAGTACGTCCCAAAAGTGGACGATGGAACTTAAGGGAGTGGTGGAATTTAGTAGACCGATTTATTTTTATTACAATTTTTTACAATACTACAATACAATACTAATATTTTGCAAATTTGAATAAATGTCAAATTTCATTCCATGTTTGTTCGAAAAATTTAAAAAGAAAATCCAAAAACTTTTGATACATTCTTTTTTCTGAAAACGAAGGTTTCGGAACATAATGTCGGCCGTCTTTCGTTTCACACCGCGTAATACCAAACAAGTTTACAAGGGCGCAACTTGAGTTTTAGAGCCGAATTAATATTTTAGCGGCGACCCTTTTAAATTTTAATTTTATCTTGTTTATTCCGAACAGAAACGTAAAAAGCGGGATAATGAAACTGGAGCACAATTTATTCCAGGAAAGTATAAAGCCAAGAATATCAACCCGATCGCAGATTTGATTTATGTTACTGCCGTTCTTCAAGATTTGGATGTTTATGGCGCCGATTTAGCTACAAACTTGCTTCTATGTGGAAAAATACAAAACATGAAATAAGAAGATGCAAGTACTGGACTGCCCTGAAAGACGGAAAACATGCTCACAATTAATGAATTACACTGGCATTTAATGCTTTTTTTATCTGGTACAAAATATGAAAATGCATTGAATGCATTGTGTTTAAAACTAAGTTTCCAATATACGGAATATCAAATATTGTACACCACTGACTTTTTCGTATTTTTTTATGTTTCTACTTTTTGATATTACTCGTGCGTAGTTAAATTGGTTATAAGATCCGCGCTTTCTCTCTGAATTGAAGTTGTTTCTGATTTCAAAACGGTTTCATTATTCGTCTGATATTTTTCGATGTGCCTTTTGCATGTGTCAAGATGTGTCACCATTGAGTCAGTTTTACAAGTGGTTATATTTTCCTTGTAATATCTCAGTACAACAAATCAGCATCAGGTCACTGCATATTGTTATTGCGCGTTTTTTTCTCTTATCTATTCCACAATGGTTAGACTGACAACTCTGGTTTTCGAGGTACATATTTGCTGAAGGATTCACCATCTTTACTTTCAAAAACATACCCTTGATTTGGCAAACGACACTCACGACACAAAATTAGTAGGTCCAAGTTCTAAGAAGATGCGAGATTAACATTTATAGGTAGACAGCAAAAAAATCTTTGAAAACGGTTGCCAACATTGAGGTGCAAGTTAATTGGATTATAAGAGAGAAAAATGAAGTATTAACCGAAAACTCTTTTTATAAGTATTATAATGTACCCACAAACGTGTCATAATCTAATATAAGGACATGAACAATTGCCATCCCATATTAAACCTAACAGTCTATTTTGGACCACCACGTGAATTTCCTTGAACCTGTCCATTATCTTGAAAAATAACGATTCTTAATTGTTGTAATTCGGCTTAGGGTTAAAACACATATCGAAGTGTTGATTGTAATGTGGCAAGTACTGCAGGGATGCTTGTTGTTGCAATATCAACAATTTACAGGCTTCTAAATTAAGATAAAAATTTCGGTTCTTTTCAAACAGGATTACGACGTATATATACTTTTTTAATAAAGAACTACCTACACAAATTGCCACTGTAATTCAAAAAAACTGCTACTTTTCATTCAAATAACAGAAGATCGATATTGATAAGCAGGACCGACATAAAAAAGGACTACTTTCAGAGTACAAAAGAAGCCAGCGACGCATCCAAATACGTTTATATTTAGATGAAACATGGATTAATAAAAATCATGCAATATGACAAGACGAAAATGTTAAAAAGCTTTATGAACGATATATATTATGATAATTTAACTATACCTACAACCTGCAGGTTTTTGATATTCCATACTTAGTTGGTTTTGAATTTGAGTTGTTTACTTGTTGGTGGTTTACCTACTGGCGGTGTTAGCTACTGCTGGTTTAAAAGTATATTATGCAACAAGTGCGGTAAACAGCACTTAAAAAGTTTACCGAACGTGTTGCATACTATACTTTTTCTACGACCGTTAGTTTTTGGGTAGATTTTCGCAAAACAACACAAATACATTCACTGACATAACCGCCGGAATTGACAAACGTCACAATTCAAGGGGTGGGAAATATCTCCAAAAACATCCGATTGCTCCAAAACCCGTGGGAGAATTACAAATGCTATAATTTGCATTTGTCCAAATCACCCGAGGCACCGGCGACGAACACCCGAAAGCGGCCGAAACATTATCCAAATAAAGAGAGAGGTTAAAATACAAATGTAAACACGGCTCAGATAACAAATTAATTTATAAAATGCTGTTAAATTATTTTACTATATAAGTGGTTTCTACTATAAAGTGTACTTACAAACAAAATAAAATTTTCAGTGTACGAAATGAGGTGGAGGTTATTTCACATGATATAACAATTCAAGCTATTGTTTAAGCTAAACCTAAGGGATTTTTAATTTATAATTTGACCTTTTAAAATAGGTATCTTTAAGTAATGGCCGCTGTTCTTTTCTAAAATTTTAATGCAATTTCAATTTTGTCAACTTTTTATCCTGATAACTACTTAGATAACTTTTACTTTTTGATTCTTGGGTATGCTAGGTAGCTGGTTAATTTTTTACATAATCCAAAGTTTTTTAATTGACCACCATATCCTCAAAATAGTCGCAGCTGAAGTATTGGATAAAGATATTGATCAACCATATTGCTTATTGAATAAATTTAAAAATCATCGATAATTTTAGGTGTGAGAACAATTGGGCACACGTTTTTATTAACCTTTCATGATTCGTGATAATCGCCGTATGCAATTTTCCGAGTAAAATGTACCTAAATACAATTTTACTATGACCTCAATGATTTATTTAAAATAATTGACAACTTTTAAACAAACACATTTATGATAGGTTTGGCTCTTTGATTAATTAAAACGCAACTGAATCTTTTAAGCTGAGTCGCTGTAAATATTACCAGATGTATTTTAAAAGCATTTGAATGTAAACAAATCGTAATTATTTTCTATAGAGGAAAATTGTTTCTCCACGGCCGGCCTCCCTCCCGCGCTGCCCCGAACGAGTCACGAACGCACCGATTTGGACAAAAGAACATTTGGACAAATACGGCCATCTCAAACCCGTGCGGTAAAATCCCGGAAATGTCCGAAGTGGTTCGGATTCGTGGGAAACTAAACTGACTTATTAAGACATTTTACAGACGGGAGTAGAAAATAGTATATTATGCAACAAGTGCGGTAAACGGCATTTGACTCACGAGTTTATTTCACACGAGTGGAGCGAGCTGTTATGTTTTTGAAAGATGGACCATAGAAATGAGGTAATAAAATATGTAGTTTTCGGTATTACCCAATCGGATCAAAGCAAAAATAATTGGTTTCAATTCTTTAAACCGCCAGCCATTAGCTGAAAGATATGGTGAGCAAACGAAACGAACCGTGTAAGGTTTACGTGTGAAAGCTGGCAGCATGTTGCAAAGGAGTGCGAAATTAGCCATGTAATTTGTGATAAATTAGGTATATGGCGGAACAAACGCATTTTCGTGGGTAATCGTCGAATTTATTTCGGCCACTATCGCTCATTCGAGGCGAGGAATTTTCACATCGTTTCCACTGTTTGGAAACGTTTGTCTCTGAATGATATTTACGGTGTGATGTATTTGCCGCGCCCAAGGCAAAATGAAAAATCGATCTTCTCCGGCCACTCGCCCAAACGGCTATTTGACTAAAAGCGTACATAATATCCCGAGTTATTTATGCTTAACTTTCGATGCCCCCGAGATACAAAATTTAATACATTTGTTATTTGTCTTGCCAAATTGGGTTTTTGTTTGATTTGGATACGTAAAAGGGGGGCGGATAAATCACCGATATTTGCGAATTGATATCTATGGAGTGATGGAGAGGCTCGTATACGTCGTTTAAGTTTAACGGGGCGGGAAACCGGAAAACCTTGTCTGTAACGTCAGCTGCGTTATAATTTTTTGTAAAAATTTAAACCCCACATTTTTTATTATTTTTACATTCCGTTTTTAAAATAAGTAAAACATTACATTAAGCTTAATATTTCGGTGAAATAAAAATTATGTACATTGGTATATATTTATTCTAACACGCGGGTTTGACTATACGCCGCTTAGGAGGATAGCGCCAAAATTTCCCGGCCTGACGTAGATGCAGCTCCAGTATTACGATATAACTTTGTCTTCTTTTAAATATGTATCTTAGTAGGCTGCGAAAAAAAAATGGAAGTCTTGGGTCAAATAGTTTTTTATTGACAGCATTTTAAACAGGACGTGTCCGAAAAAATGTCGCAAATAACGCAAATTGAGTATATGAGTTTTTGACTAAAGAAGGGTTAGCACCTAAAATTATTAAAGAAAGGCTGGATGGTGTGTACGGCCAAAGCTTTCCTTTGTATTCTGTAGTGAAAGAATGGGCAAAACGTTTTGGAATGGGGCAGGAGTCTCTTGAAGATGATTCAAGAACTGGTCGACCAGTGGAGGCCATAACGGAAGATATTATTGTTGCGATTGTGGAAGAGGTGGTATTGAGTCATCATCATCATCGCGTGTCGTCTTCAGTGAAGGTTGGCGATCACATTGGCAAATGCTTGTCTATCCTGTGCCGTTCTTATTACTTGTTCAAAGTTCAGGCTGGTCCAGTTTCTGATGTTTCGCATCCAGGACAGTCGCTTTCTTCCTAAACCCCTCCTTCCTTCCAGCTTTCCCTCAACTATCAGTCGTGGCAACTCATACTCTTCGTGCCTGAGTAGGTGGCCTAAGTATGATGTTTTCTTTACTTTTATGATATGTAGTAGCTCTCGCTCACCACCCACTCTTTGAAGTACTTCATCGTTCGTAATTCTGTCTGTCCAAGGGATCCTCAACATTCGTCTGTAGCACCAGAGTTCAAACGCCTCCAATCTATTCATCATGGCCGCCTTCAGCGTCCATGATTCAACGCCGTACAACAGGATAGGCCAGACGTAACATCGTACCAGTCTCAGACGTAGGCCCAGGTCCAAATATGAATCAGAGAGGAGCCGCCTATATCGCATAAATCCCTGGCGCGCTTGCTCAATTCTAGTCCTTATTTCGTAATCGGGGTTTGTGTCTTTCAATCCAGGAACCCAAATATTTAAAATGATTTACCATTTCTAGGACTTCGCCGTCGATATTCTGATTTTTGCTAATTACCATTGTTTTTGTTTTCTTAATGTTGATCTTCATCCCATATTGTGAGCATGCTCTTTGAACGCTATCAATAATATTCCGAAGCCCGATGTCTGTGTCGGCCATCAGAACCGTGTCATCAGCATATCTTATGTTGTTGACAGTTTCCCCATTTACTTTGATTCCATCTGAGATATTCTCTAATGCGAATTTAAACAGCTCCTCCGAGAAAACATTAAAAAGAATCGGTGACAATATGCATCCCTGTCGTACTCCTTTACAAATCTCTATTTCCGCAGATGTAGTATTTTTTGTTCTTAGTTTTGCTATTTGATGCCAATAGAGATTCTTTATTAATTGAATGTCCTTTCCATCGATTCCCACGTTGACAAGGGAGTTTAAAAGGCCTGTATGTGGAACTCTATCGAATGCCTTTTCGAAGTCAACAAAGCATATGTATAGGCTCTTCTGCTGGTCCATGCATTTCTGAGCCAAAACTTGCAGGCTAAACAGTGCTTCACGAGTGCCCATGCCTCTCCTGAATCCAAACTGTTCTCTTGAGATTACCTGCTCGCATTTCTCCCGGATTCGATTGTGGATAATTCTGAGAAGGATCTTCAGGGCGTTGCTCATCAGACTAATCAACCTAAAGTCATTGCATTGACGAGGATTCGGCTTTTTGGGAATGGGAATGAATGTAGATTCCAGCCATTCTGTCGGAATTTTGCCAGATTTATATATTTGATTAAGTAGTTTTAAGAAGAGATCCAAGTTTTCTTCATCAATTAACTTAATAACTTCTGAGTAAATATTGTCAGGTCCTGGGCTTTTATTGTTCTTTAGTTGGTTGATAGCGCGTTCAAGTTCACATTTAATTATGGTAGGACCTTCGTTATTATTGCTAGTGGATGGCTCTTCTCTTAAGTCGGCAAATAAGTCTCGGATATAATTTTTCCATATGACTATTTCCTCAGAGATATCTTTTGCTTGCTGGTGGTTATTATCAAACAGTCTATATGGTGCTTGTCGCTTATTTGCTCCAGATAATTCTTTAATTTTTTTGTGCAGGTTGAAACCATCATGTTTACGCTGTAGGTCTTCTATTTCCTCACACCTTTCCCTCATCCAGTTCTCTTTTGCTTCTCTGATTTTCCGCTGAATAATTGAATGGATGCGTCTATATTCTGTTGGGTTTTTGTTTTTGCATTCCCGGCGCTTGTCCATTAGATCTAGAATTTCTCTGGTCATCCATTCTTTCTTTTTCTTAGTCTCTGACTTAAGGTGTTCAGTTGTGACCTCCTTTAGTATATAAGATATTTCAGTCCAGGTCGCGTCAATATTATCTGCTGTCCGCTGGCCTCGGTTAATTCGTTGGAGGTTGGCGTTAAGCTCGATCTGTAAGGAGTTTTTCTTTGCCTCTTGTTTTAATTGTTGCACATCAACTTGTGGTGTTGGTTTTCTTTTCTTCGTGAGCTTGAGTGTCATAGAGAAATCAATTAACACAGGATTATGATCAGATCCTATGTCAGCGCCGGGGTACGTCTTTGCATTTTTGACTGAGCTGCGGAATCTCTGGTTCACCATGATGTAGACAATCTGGTTTCGCACTATGTTGTCATTATTGTGTTGGGGAGATGTCCACGTGTATAGTCTTCGCGGGGGTTGCTTGAACAAGGTATTTAAGATTACAAACTTGTTTTCCTGACAGAACTCTATTAGCCTGTTCCCTCTGTCATTTCTTTGCCCCAATCCAAAGCTCCCAACCATCTCCGACGAGCTTCCCTTTCCGACCTTCGCATTTAGGTCCCCCATAACAAATAAAAACTTCTTCCTTTCGCGTGTAACTAAGTAATTCCTTGAGGTCACTATACCATTTCTCAAGCTCATCCAGTGGTTTGTCGCCAGTCGGAGCGTATACCTGTATCAAATTAATATTTACAGGCTTTCCAGTTAGTTGTATGAGCATGCATCGGTCAGATAATGATACGAAACCTACAACCGAGGCCGCTATATTGGAATTCAGCAAGATGCCCACTCCATGTCGATGGCTGGGATCATTGTTTCCCGAATAATAAAAGGTTTTGTTTGAGGTCGTGATCGATCCTGAGCCGGGCCATCGCGTTTCACTAATTCCAAGGATATGTATACCAAGCCTGTCCATCTCATGGCAGGCATTTGCCAGCTTACCTCCCTCAAACAGTGTTCGCACATTCCATGTCGCTATTTTGTAAGTGTGGTTCATAGTTTTTAACCCGGGGATTCTTCGCACCCTCTGACCATCGAAGGTCTGCCGGGGACTGAGGGCCATTCTTTGTGAGTTTCTTGCCATTGTGATATACGCGGGAAAATAATGGGGTGGTTTCCCGTTGCCTTCCCCATCGCAGTATGAAGGCCATCTAATACTGTTACAGTCGAGCCCTTCACTGTCCTCCCCTAAACCAGTCCAAGATCATTCCTTTTGTGCTTCAGCTCGGTACTGAAAATGCTGCTGCCCATCTCCAGGCTGGATTTTGGTTCGCCCCGAGTATTTTATTTCCTCGGTACCACCTATATCTTGGGAGGCGTTCCCCTATCCACCACCTGGGGAGGCGCCCGATGGGGGATCCAGCAAACCCCACACGGGTATTGAGTGATCGACGTTTAAAGGTCAAGGAAATCTCAGAAATTACTAAGCTCTCTGATACAAGTGTTCGTCGAATCCTGCATGATCATTTAGGTATGCATAAAGTTCAAGATGGGTTCCTAATAACCTTTCGGTTATTCAAAAACAACGCTGTGTCGAGTCTGCGCGATCTTTTTTGGAACTTTGTGGGTCGGAAGCGAAGACTGTGATAGAAACTATTGTGACGGGAGATGAAACTATGGTTCTCTATTATGACCCTCTATCGCGTCGTAAGGGTGAAGCACCTCCAAAAAAATTCAGAGTCTGCCAGTCAACAAAAAAGGTGATGGCCACGATCTTTTGGGATTGTGAAGGAATCCTTTTGATAGATTTTAAAGAAATTAATACTACTGTCAGTGGTAAATATTACGCAACATTAATACATAAATTGCGAGACTGCATACGTGTCGAACGTCGAGGAAAACTGACCTGAGGCGTGCGTCTTTTGGACGATAATGTACCTGCCCATAGTGCTGGTGTTGCACAAGCTGCTATTTTAGAGTGAGGGTTCCAACAGATAGATCATCCTCCCTATAGTCCAGATATGGTCCCCAGCGACTATTATTTGTTTGGATATTTGAAAAAGAACTTACATGGACGGCGGTTTAACGATGAAGTTGAGTTAAAAGAGGCTGGTTCAGCTCATTTTGCAGACAAACCAAAAGAATATTTTTTTAAAGTGATTGAGTTGTTAATAAAGAGAAGTAATAAGTGTATTGAAGTTAAGGGGGATTATAATGAAAAATAATAAAAAATTGTTACTCTACTTTGTTTCTTTCATATTCAGGCCGGGAAATTTTGGCGCTGCCCTCGTAAGTATAACGGGGTAGGGAAACGAGAAACCTTGTCTGCATGTCAGCTCCATTATCATTTTTTCCAAAATTTTAGACACCCCATTTTTTATTATTTTTATATTCCGTTTTTAAAATAAGTAATATATTACATTGAACCTAATATTTGGGTTAAATGAAAATTACGTACATTGGTATATATATTTTGACACGTATACGCCGTTTAAGTTTACTGGGGTGGGAACACGGAAAACCTTGTCTGCACATCAGCTTCGTTATCATTTTTTCCAAAACTTTAGACCCCATATTTTTTATTATTTATATATTCCGCTTTTAAAATAAGTAATATAGTACATTAATCTTAATATTTGGGGGAAATAAAAATATTGTACATTGGTATATATATTTTGACACACGGGTTTGACTAGTGCTAGTAATATTTTTGTCTTGCCACATTTTTGATATTATGTGATCCTCATTAATACACGTCTCGTCTAGATCCAATAAAACATTCTTGTAATACGGTACTGTTTTATACTTGTGAAATATTTTCTACTTACAAAAACAATTTCATTGCTCTCAAGTAAAAGAACTGTGCTATTGTACTTTTCCCAGGGAGCATTCATTCTTTCAAGATATGAATACTATTCTTGTCTTTTCTTCTCTGGTCCAAGTCCCATTAACATTCTGTCTAGGGTAGGCATTTCCTTCTTAAAATAGTAAGGGTAAACTTTTCATCAAATTCATTTTGTCATCATTTTTGCTCACCTTTGTGGATTATTTTTGGAAGTTTACATTTGACGTGTATCCTTTCATTTCTGCAACATCTTTCATCTGTCATGTCCAAAGCTTCTGGTACGCTATGGTGGGATATTTATCTATGTCTATTGTCTACCAGAAGACCATCTCAATCTTCAAATTGTTCTGTTTCAAACATTTCCAATTTCTGATACTGATGTTCTTTGCTCAGTGGGTTTTCAGATTGCAGAAGATTGCATTACATTTTAGAAAAGCAAGTTTAATGTTGGTTTATGGAATTGCGCACAATCACCAACCAGGTTATCTTAAATTATGGTTGGAAAAAAAGTTAAACTTTTATCAATACAATATACGTTCCAATCAGCACTTCAATATTTCTATGGTAAAAACAACAAATTTACAGAAAACTCTATTCTACGATGGTGTTTGTAATTTTAATGAACTGCCGGATAATATTAAGGCCGCGCCTTGCCCAAGAGTGTTTAAGAAGAGACTTACGCGGTATTTGCGAAGTTTTTAGTTTTGTTTATGCAAATTTTACTTGCTTATGTAAATATCCAAGTGCTAAATAAATAAATAAATAAATAAAAATAAATTTCACATCCTCCAAGGAAACCTCTACTGCGAGCTTTTTTTATAAAATTCACCTTCCCTTTTTATTTACTACAATCTTCTTCAAGTACATGTGGATTTGCGAATTTGTCCCAAGCATGGTGGTTACCACTGCCATATCACTGCCATGGATTTTATTCATTTAATGAATTCTATTCTTATAATTTTGTGATGTGATTGTGTTTAGCATTCTTATATCTATAATTGCTGCTTGTGCTTAATAAACCATATCCATATCCATCCTAACTCTTAATCGCATATTTTTTATATTAAAATTTTCTTTTTTTTTTCATTCTTATCCCTAAGGCTCACGAATTTTTATGTTTATTGTATACTGTGTTTGCCCAAATATTGCTGCGAAATGAGACACAAATGTCTTAACATATCTCATCACAATTATTGATTTTTTCTACTCCCGTCTGTAAAATACCTAATTAGCCACCGATCTAGCGTGCGGGAAGCGTCCCTTTACCACGTCAGTTTCCTTTCCCACGAATCCGAGTCACTTCGGACATTTACGGGACTTTACCGCACGGATTTGGGAGCAATCGGATGTTTTCGGGGATATTTCCCACGTTTTGAATTTTGACGTTTGTCGATTTTGACGGTCATGTCAGTGAATGTATTCGTGTTGTTTTACGAAAATGTACCCAAAAACTAACGGTCGTAGAAACAGTATATTATGCAACACATTCGGTAAACTTTTTAACTCACTCGTTTATTAAACACTCGCTCCGCTCGTGTCAAATAAACTCGTGAGTCAAATGCCGTTTACCACACTTGTTGCATAATATACTATTATCGTACACTATTTAAGTATAGTTTTTGTTTGAAGTTGACACGAAGGTCAGTTAAGAATTTCAATCAGTGATTTTTTGAAACAGATCCTTTGAAGCAATTTATGTTTTCGAGCTTACGTTCTTGGCATTTTGCTGAGAGGCAAGTGGTGTGTTTTAACGGCGAAAAGGAATGCAGTGTATTTTTCGAGTCCCTAGCAAGGAAAAAAAGGTGCGGCCAAGTGTAAATAACGAGGAAAAATTTTAATGAACGTCTGCAAAAAAAGCACCTTTTTACATATTTGCGAGTTATGCGTCGCGTTAAATTTTACTGTTTGCAAAGGATTTCTGAAATATTTTTGAAGCCGCCTTTATTAGCTTATATTAACTAGCCGCTCGTTAAACTGATTGTTTAGAGCGGCGAAGACGACGACAAAGGATTCATTTAACATTTTTTAATGAAGTAAAATAAACCATCTTTTACATAGCACCAACTCCGCATCGAAATTTTGGGAGGCGTGAAAAATAAATAGGTAATTAAAGGTATTTTAAAGTTTTGTTTTGTGAAATGATGTGATTGGCTTACGCAAAGCAGCATTACAGGACTCGCCTATGCGAAGTCCTTGAAGCCCTAGATTTTTTTTAATTTACTATAAAGTTAATTTTTTAATATTAATCTTAAACGTACAACTAATAAGCATTCTTATTTATTTGTGTGCAAGTTATGTCCAAATTATTTGTCGATGTGAAAAATTTGAAACGGCGAATGATGATGTTGTGGTGTGAAGTAACTGCCTTTTGATATAAGTTTCAGCAACTTGAGATGACCTGCAGTCACCAAGTGATTTTAATTCTATAATGGGTCTCCCGATTGTCCAGCAATATAACTGCAAAGAAATAGTATATCATATATAATTAAAAATGAACATGGATTGTTTTGGTGTCGACATCCATTTTATTTAATATTTTAGAATTCTTTGGTTAATATCCTACGGTTTTTTTCTTCATGAACTCTGTCATATTTGCTTATGCAGATATTTGTTATTGCACGTATGATTGGGCTTTTCTGTTTTTTCCGATAAATATGCCAATAAAACGTTATTTCCTTTTCCTTCGAGAACCTATTCGCAAAAATTTTGGTATATTTACTCCTATTGTCTCCGGAACTTCGATCTTAATTAGTCAAGTGAGAATGTAACAGGAAAAGGTTTT